TTTTTTTTTTGTAGAGGCGGGAATTTACCATGTTGCCAGAGCTGGTCTTGAACTCCTGGACTTAAGTGATCTGCCCACCTCAGCCTCCCAAAGTGCTGGTATTACAGGCATGATTGTTGAACAATTTTAATCGTTATTATGGGTTTTAAAAAAATACTGGATGAGGTTGATCTCCATTTATGTCCACCTAAATTATATGTTCCTATCTAGTCACAACCTGGCTATCAGAAAGTCTTTTCCAAATGATGTTGCCAGCCCAGATAGGTCTAGGAACAAAACAGCTTCCCCATTTACAGTTCCAACTATGGAAAACCACACTCTTCTTCTTACTTTACTTTCCAAAAGATAGCCCCTGAAACTGGTTTACTCTATCCATGAATAACTATGGGCCATATTTATATTGTTGCCCTGGGCATTTGAAATAAGGCTATCCAAGTACTGTCCATAATTAACCATTTGTCTTAGTCAAGGTTTGTCTGGAACAAGCCTTTTCTAACTTTATTGGAAGTTAGAAATAGAATCCACTTCCCAAGCAGCCATTTATTTCATCAATAAAACTGCATTCGATTACCCAGGCTGCTTATGAGCGCTACATCAGATGTGTTTCTGTAGAGAGAAAAACAATTGTTTTTCTAATAGACCTTTCTTATACACACAAAAGGGTGCATACAAAAGCCTGCAGATAATAGAACAAGGTTTTCTTACTCATTTAAATATTTGTTTAACGTTGGCATTATTGAGATTTCAGTAGTCGCAGAGTAACATAAATATAATTTTTTTCAGGTAACGCCTTTGTGAACCACAACTTTAAATATCAGCCAGCTGCTCCTATCAACAAGAGTATCCCCTGTTAATTTTTTGCATTTTCCAAGATGAGTAAAAGCAAACTAATTCCCAAGCTCTCGATTCAGTCTCCTGTCCGTCATACCAACTTAAATGTCCAGCCCACACACCCACCTTTGAAGAAAGAAGACTTACATCGGATTTCAAAAGACTCCTTGGAATCTGATTCAGAAAGCCTCACTCAAGAGACGATGTCCCATTCTGAGTTTGATGATCGAATCCAGGACAACGATATGGAGCGCGACAGCTTAGACGAGGAAAGCCCTCGACGGGGAAGCCTGCATGAGACAGGAGAGGAAGCAAGTGGAAAAGCAGCTCCGATGGCTCGCGAGCAAAACCACCATACCTGGGACCAGGGCGCCAATAACAGGTGAGGAATTGGCTTGTGTAAGATAATAATGGGCTGTAAAATATACAGTTAAATAATCACTGGTGTCATTCCAAATGAGAGTAAGGGCAGGCTGCCCTAATGAGCGCCATGTGTGTGAGACGGGTCTCCAAGCAGCCAAGGAGAGGTGGGCACCATCTTTTTTCCATATTCAGATATTTTTAAATTAAAAAGTGCAGTGGGTATTAATCAGGGCATTTGCATTTCTCATACCATTTATTTCCTGTCCATATTCCAAGTGTCTCCACACTAGGAACCTCACCTGGGAGAAATTCCAGAAAGCCTGGTATAGAAAAGGATGTGGAGTCAGGTGGACTCGATTTGGTCCAGGCATTACTGTTTAGTGTATAATCTGGAATAAATCACTTAACTCTTTTTTTATTTTTTAAAAAATTTTATATAGTATTAAATATTTATAATAGAGATGGGATCTCACTATGTTGGCCAGATTGGTCTTGAACTCCTAGCCTCAAGCAGTCCTTCTACTTCAGCCTGCCAAAGTGCTAGGATTACAGGCATGAGCTACCATGCCTGACCCACTTAATTCTTTTTTTGGCTCACTTTTTCTCATCTGTCAAACAACCTGACTTGCCTATCTCACAGGATTGCTATGAATGTCAATAAAGTACAAATAATTGGGGATAGAATCTTACTTGGCCCATTCAGAGCTAGTAGAGGTCTACCTCCCAGGGCTTGTATGATCATATAAAGATTTAATCTAATAACCAGAATTTAAGGGATTTAACCTTGTGCTATGAGCTACCAAAAAAAGTAAGGGGATGTAAAATAATGTGGTGATACCACTCTGTTACAACTGAGGCACTGAGGATATGATAGAGTACAGAAGAAGGTAAAAGCTATTGATTAGGAGGTTTTAGTGTGGTGGTGAAGTGCATGGTGTCTGAGGCAGACCATTTGGGTTCAAATAGTGGCTCTGCCACTTACTAGCTGTATAACCTTGGCCAAGTCCAATTAATGTTTCTGTGCCTCAGTTTCTTCATCAGTAAAAATGGGATAATAATAATAGTTAACCAGTTATCATAAGGCTAAAATAAATATATCTAAATTGTTTAGAATAGTGACTGGCTCCTTATAAATTATATTGTGTTAGTTGTTTGTTTTTTTTTTTTTTTTTGTGGTAGGGGAGGAGTCTCGCTCTGTCATCAGGCTGGAGTACAGTGGCGCGATCTCAGCTCACTGCAACCTCCGCCTCCCGGGTTCAAGCGATTCTCCTGCCTCAGCCTCCTGAGTAGCTGGGACTACAGGTTGTGCCACCACACCCAGCTAATTTTTGTATTTTCAGTAGAGACGGGGTTTCACCATGTTGGCCAGGATGGTTTCTATCTCTTGACCTTGTGATCCACCTGCCTCGGCCTCCCAAAGTGCTGGGATTACAGGCGTGAGCCACTGTGCCCGGCCGATTTTTTTTTTTTTAATTCAGGCTGAAATATATTAAGGAAAATTTATTGGAAGGCCTGGAACTTGGGCAGGGTCTTGAAAACAAGCTAAGATCTGGATAATAGAACAGAATGGGAGTGACATGTTTGCGGCACTTTAGGGAGCCCAGCTGGCTTGCGGAGGATTTGAGTGTAGGGAAAATGGACTGAGTAGGAGTCTGATTAGGAGGGGGTCTTAAAAATGTGCTTATAGTATTGGAAGATACATTTTCAGGTCATGAAGTGTAACCATCCTACCACAGATGAGGATATTGAGTCTTACAGAACTCACATGACTTGTCCTCAGGATACAGTCACTGCAAGGGCTCGTGTGGGAACCAGAAGTAGAGCCCAGTCCTGAGTCTTTTCTTTCTTTCTTATCTTTCTTTTTCTTCTTTCCTTTCGTCTTCCCCTCCCTTTTTTTCACTGGGGATATCTAGTTGAATCAATCTCATAAGTGTCTTAGTGATATGTCACAGTAAAAGTGATAAGAGCTGTCACCAAGGTGCTAGAGGCGGAAGAGGCATCCGGACAGCTTCAGAGAGACAGACACCCTTGATTGGACTGGGCTGGGAAAGCCAGGCAGAGAGAATACAGGTTCTTGGGGAGGGCAGTGAGATGTAGCAGCGTTTAAGGAAGATTATTATGCAAGCTGGTGCATTTTGAATTAGAGACCAAACACACAATGGACAGAGAGACTGTTGGATGGATATGACAACAATAACAATGACATCACTTTTTAAAAGCCTATCTTAGTTTCACTCAATTCTCCATCACAATCCTGTAGGGAAGGCGTTGCTTTTCCTATTTTACAGATAACGAAAATGAGGCTAACAGAGATGAAGAAACTTATCTAGGTTATCGTGCTTGGAGGATGTCCTTGTTTTGTTACTGATGCTGTTTTTTTTTTTTTTAATCATGCAAAAATTCTAACCTATAAAGAAGTACAGAGAAAAATACAGTATAACCCTTACTGCCATATTTGTTTCAGATATATTTTTAAAATTCATACTATATTACAGATAAAGTTTCCATGTACCCCTTCTCAAACTCATTCCCCTTTCTTCCCCTCAGAGGTAATCAATACATACTCTTACATGAGTGTGCATCCTTCTCACCAATCTTCCATTCATTTATTTCACGGGTAATCTATAATTAGTAGATAAATATGTATCTATATATGGATGTATGATGCCCATTTTGCTCAGTCAATATTATGTTTTTGTGATTTTACAATCATGCTTTTGAACTAAGACATGGTCTTGGTTGAATATTGACGAATATTTAGTTTTTTTCCAGTTTTCGTTATTTCAGACAATGCTCTGTGCCCGTCATCGTATGCCTCCTTGGGTATGCATGCAAGAGTTTCCTTAGGGTCTAAGTCCCCAGGAGTGGAACTGTGGTTCATGGGCAGATGGACATCTTCAACTTTACCCACAAGTGCCTACAAGTTACCAGTCCTCAGAATTACTGTCTTTTAACTTCTGCCATTCTGATGGGTTATAAAATCCTGTCCTATTATAGATTTAAATTACTTTTCTCTGATAACTTGTGAGCCTGAGAATCTTTTTACATGGTTTTAACCAAATGAGATCGATTTAGACATCCTCTTTGGCAACTGGTTATTTTCATTTAGCAAAATACCCATGTGTATCTTGGGTCTCTTTCTGTAGAGTTGGTCTTCCGTATCCATGGCTTTCGCATCTGTGGATCCAACCAACCACAGATAAAAAATATTTGGGGAATAAATGGATGGTTGAATCTGTACTAAACATGTACAGAGACTTTTTTTCTTGGCTTTATTCCAGAACAATATAGTATAACAACTATTTGCATAGTATTTACATTGTGTTAGGTATTATAAATAATCTAGAGATAATTTAAAATATATAGGAGGATGTGCATAGGCTATATACAAATATTACTCCAATTTATAAAAGGGACTTGCCCATCTCTGGATTTTGGTATCGGCAGGGAGTCCTGGAACCACTCCCTCACAGATAGCTGAGCAATGATTATATTTATATGTTCATAGTACATATGGACATGGTACATAGTATTCTAGTATCTGGAGGTGCCATGATATATTTATTCAGTCACCTAAGGGTGGACTTTGGGATGTTCCCAGTTTGTTTGTTTGTTTGTTTGTTTGTTTGTTTTGGAGACAGTCCTGCTCTGTCGCCCAGGCTAGGATGAAGTGGCACGATCTTGTCTCACTGCAACCTGCACCTTCCGGGTTCAAACGATTCTCATGCCTCAGCCTCCCGAGTAGCGTGTGCCACAATGCCCGGCTAATTTTTTCCACTTTTAGTAGAGAATGGGTCTTATCACATTGCCCAGGCTGGCCTCGAACTCCTGAGCTCAGGCAATCCGTGCACTTCAGCCTCCCAAAGTGCTAGGATTACAGGCGTGAGCCACCCCCTCCCGGCCCCAGTTTGTTTTTTTGTTTTTTTGTTTTTCAGACAAAACTTTAACTGAAATTTTATATATATAAACGAAATAATTGATAGGGTTGGGTGACAGATTAGATACGAGGATTGAAGGAACAAGAGAAGCCAAAGATTAAGGGTTCCTCTAACAACAGCTAGCATTTATAGAATGCATATCATGAGCCCATTTGTGCTAAACACTTTACATGTATTATCTCATTTAATCTTTATTGCAGCCGTGGTAGATGCTATCATGATCCCATTTTGAAGGTTGCAAATGAGGCTTTAAAAGTTTATATTATACCCATTTGTTGCATCTAGTGAGTGGTGGAGCAGAAAACTCAGGCAGTCTGACTCCACGGCTCCAAACCCTGTTTTTATCCTGGCTCTAAGAGATTTATAGTCTCCTAGGTAATAAATGGGAGTCGTTTTAGTTATAGAAATGGGGCCACTGGAAAGGAAAAATCTTTTGCAATGGATAGGTATTTTTGTCTGTGTTTTTAAGATGAAGAAACCAAGGTAAAGATCCAGTAAGTGACCTCATTTCCCCAGTTGTTGGGTTTTTCTTCCTTTTGTCCACTGCTCGGGGACCTGACTTTAACCCTTGTTCTTACAAAAGTACAGTTTAAATACCATCTAATATAGTTCAAAGTAAGAATAATGCTTATAAAAATCAAAATTATGGTTAGATTCTTGGTTCTGATTCGGAGATCCTCAAATAACGCTGTTTTCCTCAGATTGATTTGCCTTGGACTTTTTAAATGATGAACTATAAACCCTCGGGTTAGAATAGGTTATAGCCCTAGTCATTGTTTGGCTATATAGTGCTTCATACACTGAACATTATAGGATAACCAGTTTTCCAGTAAAAAGGAAAACAGAACGGAAGCAATTAGACAAATAATACCTCGAAAATATTATTCAGGTGAGCGTTTCATTATTGGTCCCTTTCCCTGCCTCATGTTAGTCTTCGAAGCCTCTCCTAGGCATACTCTTGCTTGGATCTGAGTAGTTTATGAGCCATGAAAGAGACAAGGAAATTGATCTCAGACTCTCAATATGAAATTCAAGTAGGCTTTTATTTCTATAAAGTAGATGGCATTCTGGGAATTGTAGT